GTGCGTTCACGGCACAACAGGTTACCTGAGCACAAAAGACAAATTGTGCAAAAGGAATTGGCTGAAATGCTAAAGCTAGGAGTAATAGAAGAGACACACAGTGCTTGGTGTAGCCCCATAGTTCTTGTGGTGAAGAAAGATGGGCCTATATGGTTCTGTGTTGACACTGCAAGGTGAACGAAGTGTCACAGTTTGATGCTTATCCCATGCCCCGGGTCAACGAGCTCCTGGACCGGTTAGGCACTGCTCGTTTTTTCACAACGCTGGATTTAACCAAGGCAGATTCTCTTATCTAACGGTCCAAGGAAAAAACGGCCTTCTCCACTCTGTATGGTTTGTACCAGTTCGACACACTTCCGTTTGCCTTGCTCAGAGGTCCTGCCACCTTCCAGCGCCTCATGGACAGGGTGCTGTGTCCACAGGCTACATATGCTGCTGCCTACCTGGATGACGTTATCATCCACAGTGACACCTGGGCGGAGCATATGAAGCGGTGGCTGCCGTCCTGGAGTTCCTGAGGCAGGCGGGGCTCACGGCCAAACCAAACAAGTGTGCAGTGGGACGGAGGGAGGTACAGTATCTGGGGTACCACTTGGGGAGCGAGCAGGTGCGTCCGTCATTATTCTACGGTGCTGGCCTTCCAGCTCTGTTTGGATCACTCCCCACTGCAATGGCTCCATTACATAAAGGATGCTAATGCCTGGATCACACAGTGGCATCTGGCTCACCAGCCTTTTAAGTTCAAAGTGGTCCATAGGCCAGGGGCAGAGGTGGTCATTTCCGCTCTCGCTGGAGGGGGAGAATAGGCTAGGCCGGATCGGTCCGCAGCCTAAGTCAGGAAGTGGGGGTGTGGTTGGTGGCTCGGCTGCAGGGGAGGAGTGGAGCAGTGGGTTCAGGGTATGGTGTCTGTCCAGGACCTTTTTTTCCACAAGAAGCTCATAGTTTCTTTGAGTATTTCATAACGGTGAAAGGAGTAGTGGAGGGACATCGCAAGTGATTAAGCTAAGAAAACCTTTTTACTTCAGTCTCTCAGCAGACACCAACTTTCTGTTCATATCTGTATGCTCACAGAGTTTTTCTAAGTTTTACTTTGCTTCAAAGTTATAATTAATATTTTCACATTTTGTAAGATGAAAAAATATTACATTTTTAAATCAAATGTCTGTATGCTACTAATGAAACCGCACCACAAAAAATAACTGGGCAGTAAAATCTCTGGTGAGCCTCAGGCTAAAATCCTGGCATGAGAACTGCAGACTATTTTGTTGGATGAGGTTGATGTTCTGTCCTCTGTTCAGATATGGGTTTGAAAAGATGAGGGAGAAAAGCTGTAATAATAAGCAAACCAAATTCGATTGTATCCTGTACGGACTCTTGGTTCCTCTGGCACAAAGCACTAGGATTTAGTCTTTTTTTCTGCAGTTTTCACTTAATAAGCTTTGCCTGGGGTGCTACATACTTCTTTTTTTCCTGTTTGTATTTGCACCGCCAATAGGAGTGATAGCTAAATGCGACAGAGGAGGACATGGCAGGACCTGTGTGTTTGCTGTGTGTCATGGGTTTGCGTTTCTGACAGAAAAATTCGAAAAGTTAAGCCCAGTTGTTTCCTGCTGTCACAAGCCTGACATATGTAAAATTATGGTTATTGCACTAACTTTGAGGCACTGACAGAGCAGTGGAGCTGATAATACACAAAATCAGTGTGATATGACCATATTTAGTCTATTCCAGTAGTCATTGGGCAAGAGACATGTACATACTGGACGAGTCACCAATCTTTTGCAGGAAAGACAGACAGCCATTCACACCTATAGTCAGCCAAACCCATGCGTGTCTCTGAACTGTGGCAGGAAGCTAAAGTACCAACCCACAGTGTAAACTCCACACTGAAAGGTTTCAGACTGGATTTAAACCAAGGAGCTTCTTGTTGTGCTAACCGCTCCACAACAACTAGTCACTTTGTGAATATTCTTCTCTCCTAGATATTCCACAATAACAATCTTTGTTTCCACAAACAAAAAGTGCGGTTATCAGCGTTTGGGAACCACAGAACATCAGGTGTGAATATCAGTAGATTTTTTTTCTTTAGGACACACAAATAATAAACAGCTTTCTCTAATATTTGGCATGTGCAGTTATTTATGAATCCATAATAAAATGATATGACGGTGCAGTTTAAAAATAATCTAGTTGTAATGCCACAACAAGTTGTGAATGGCTTATTCGCGCTCCGCCCTCTCAGATCAGCTGGTTGTTGGTTCCAAACACCTGTTGCCAACAGGTTGCAGAGTGCTCTCTGCTGGACAAACTATGCAACCTTAACACTCATGAGATGGTTAAAAGGTGTTTCTTTCCCGTCTTTACTTTTTTCAGTTTTTATTTGCGTCTGTTATAAATTCAGATACCTACTGAGCAGCTCCTGTAGGTGTAATGTGTAGGTGGCTAAGAACAATGGTAGTTTCTACAATTACAGATAAAAGAACTATAAAAAAGGCCTTGCTTGTTCTGTCTTCTGTATGATAGTTCTTATTGCTTATAAGCAACCCCGATGCTATATTCGTTTAATTTTAAAGACTTCGCACTCATCATCCCTTTTCCTCCTCTTCTCCCACTGATGGCTCCGAATGTTGCAGCAGATCGTTTTTGGTCAATTTTAATCCTAATAAAAACTGCATTAAGAAAAACTTAAGAAAAACTTATTTCTGTCCTCGTGCTGCTGGTGAGAAAGCCACATTTAATTTTAACTTTCAACAGTCCATGTCACTGTTGAATAATCACACCGTGTAAAGCAGTTTATCTAATGCAGGTCAGATGACGTCATTTATTTGACTGATTTCCCAGGTAAGCACCAAGAGGTGGCCAAAGCAACTGGACCTTTGAGAAACTGCATTATTGAAAATTGCGAGTCTTCAGAAGAAAAGATATGAACTCCCCTGCAGCCTGACATTTTCAAAAAGCTCCTCTCTGCATGTCTACTGTGTTACTGTGTTATTTATGACTAATCCAACAGTCTACAAGCGGGGCAGATGTATATAGGTGCCACCTGAGCAAAATTGACCAAGCAATTTAGATGTTTTGTCTTCATTGAGACATTCCTCTAAAACAAGAGGCATGTTTTGCTTTCTTTAAATAAATTGACTAAATTCGCTGCCTTATTGAAATTCAAACAAAACAAACCCCCTCTTAACACCAATGCAGCTATCAACAATGTATGCTCTTCCACAGCAACACCTCACTTTTCTTTCATTTTACTTCTGAAATACATTCTTTTAAATATGTTCTGAATATCAGAGATTTAACAACCTGCATCAAACTAAATAAAATATTGATTTTTCTGCTCATGGCATCTCCACTCCACTCCCCCTTGCCTTTCTACCACAGTCAGTTGCTGAGGAGCTGAGATTCTCATGAATGCTGCTGCGCTGCCTGAGTATATGTCATTTTGCCCTGGATGTTTTACTTTATTTATGCCTTTGAATGCATAGTAGCATTTGGGATATTAAAAGTTTGGATAAAATCTTGTGTTGGGTCAAATACCAACCCAATCAAAAACTTGTGACTTGGAACAACAAAGAAAATAATGTGCATATCTGTAATTCAAATCAACTCTGAATTGCATGATCACACCGACAACACAACATGTAACAATGCTGCGAGCCTTCCCAGACCATAGAAAGTTGAAAAACTTCAAGTCACAAAGGGCAAAGGAACTACTAGTGACACAATGTGGGCAGGGCACAAGATAAACTTTTCCATTTTCCAGGCAAGTGATTGAAACATCCACCAATGAGAGCACAGAATGCTGTTGAAATTTGACCTGGTAGTAAACACATTTGACTCACCTGGGCATTGTAAAGCCTTTGGATCACATCTGTCCATTGGTTGTCCCATTGAGTGGAGGTCAATGGGAAATTAAAATTCAAATGTAAATAAATATACACTTAAGAGTCTTTGATAAACTTCCCATCAGAGAATGACTATTTTTGCAATTTTTGTGGGAAATCATAAAACAGTTTATGTACATGCGTGCAAATTAATTCAGCCTCACTATAAATGTGTTGGAACTGACATTTATGAGAGATGTGAGTTTGCTGGTCCTGAAAGATTTCAGCTCGGATTTAAAAAATAAATATAGAGTTTTTAACAAGATATGGATTGTAGTATATTTAACCACTTAAGTCAGGAAGAGTGAGTGCCTACTTTGTAAAGAGTAGAGTGCTGTGTTTAAGCATTACAGTTTGAATTTGACTGATGCAGAGCGAAAACGCACATCTGACCATTTGCTAGCAATGCTGCAAGTGCAGCAAGGACACACACAAACACACACACACACACACACACACACACACACACACACACACACACACACACACTAATTGCCCTTCATAGATAAACTTTGTCTGCTTCTTTGATTTATTATAGTAAGTAAAATAAAAATAAAATAAATACAAATAAAAATAAAAATAAAGACTGAGACACAAACTGAGCCTCATGGGGTCACAAACTAGTGTACTCTTAGTGTTGATTCCAGAAAAAAAGGAGGGTCTCTTTTCCTTCTGCCTCCCCTTTCCCTCATCCACCTGCGGGCCTCCACCACTTGCTAATGTTACTGAATCTGTGGAAACTCCGCGATAGCCACCACACGAAGTAACGAGTAACGACCCTATCTAAATCCCAGTAACGAGTAACGCGTTCCTGGTTTTGGCATAATAACTAGTTACCATGCTCGTTACCACAATAATAACGTAGTTACTGTGACGCGTTACTTAATAACGCGTTAGTCCCAACACTGGTGCTGACAATATGAAAATGGTGACTTCCCAGCATATAATTTTCTGTCTTTACTATGCTTTATACTCAAATACTTTTCACCAACTGTTGCTGTTTTACCATTGCTTTTGTGCATCATAGAACTCACAGAGACTCTCTGAAGCTCCTAAGTATCCTTAAAATTTGAAAAATTGCACAGATTCATCCCCCCAACTCCCTTATAGACAAACCTGTCGTCGGTCCAGCGCAATGGCGGTGAGCGTGAGGGTGGAGACGTGCAGTGAGCAGTACTGTACAAAGCGACTGATGTGGCACATAGTTCTTCCAAACACCCAGGTGCTGTTCACAAAGCGGACCTAAAGGAGTGCACAAACACAGGGCAGGCCAAAATGAGAAATGTCAACGGTCTCATCAGGTAGACACACTGGGAGGAACGTCAACTTTTAAAACTGCAAAAATGAGAAGTACTCTAAGAGCATGGCTGCTCTTAGAGTACTTCTCTAGAGTACTTCTCATTATGATTATAATGATTAGCAGCCACTAAACAGACATGAGCTAACTATGTTCATACTCCAGTTCCCACAGCAACAATAAGCCTTAACTCTAAGTAACAGCTCTGGAATACTAGTGCACCAATGAGACAAATCAGAATTATTAGTAATTTTCTTGCAGTTCAGTGTAGACCCCTAAAAATAGTGTATGCCATGTGGGGAACATTTTGCTTTGTTATAGATTTTTTTTTCCATTGGAGGCTTTCATAGCATAGCAACCTTTTACACTGCTCTGATTCAGGTGAGGAAATGTCAGCAAAGATGGGAGCAATTTTAGACGCACCTGTAACACAAGATTACAGTTTATAGCCTGCACTGTCAGACATCCCCACTTGAGGTGTGCTCCTGCTTCTTCTAGTGTTTATAATCACAGTTACAGTGACACATGCTGTACAGGTCATGCAGGATACAGCCATCGTGTTAGATTTTTCGGCACATATGATCAAATGTTCTAAATAGCCTAAGTGCACTATTTCAAAAAGTGCTGAAAGAAAATCTGTCGGAAAGAGAGAGAGAGAAGGTGGGGTGAGGGTGTGTGAGGCAGGAGTTGTTTAGTGATCCTTGGGGTAGGTAAGAATGGAGAGTAATATTGAGTTGCCTGGCATGCCACAGAGGGCTCTTTCAAGGTGAAGCTTTTTTCTTTTCTTTTTTTTATCTCCGTAATAACACATGCCAGTCCTCAAACTGGAGCTGCTGCTCCAGCCCCACTAATACACAAACACCAAGCTTTCTCTTTCTCTGTCATTTGCAGTGCCTTGAAAGATTATTTGTCCCATTCGTGATCTCTTTGATAATCTGATCTCAGATTATCAAGTAAATTTTAACATTAGAAAAAGATAATCCGAGTAAATACAAAACACCATTATTAAACAGTGATTTCATTTATTAAGGTAAAGGGGTTTTCCAAACCTGACCAGCCCTGTGTGAAAAAGTCATTGATATCTATCAGTCTGAAATGGGTTACAAATCCATTTCTAGGGGTTTGTCACTTCAGAGAACCATTATCCACAAATGGAGAAAACCTGGAACAGTGCTGAGGTGGCCGGTGCACCAAAATGACTCCAGGAACACATCAAAGACTCATCCAGGAGGTCACAAAAGAACCCAGAAAAACATCTAAAGAACTGTCAGCCTCACCTGTCTCAGTTTAGGTGAGAGGTCATCCATGGGAGAGTTCCAAAGAAAAAAAACAACACTGTTGACCAAAACTAACATAAAGGCTCAAAAATCCTGAAGGAGAATGTCCAGCTATCAGTTTGTGCCCTGAAGCTTAAGTGCACTTGAGTAATGCAGCAAGACAATGATTCAAAACACTCTGGCACACACTTGGAGTGGGCTGGTCAAAGTCTGGAGTTACATCCAATTGAGATACTTTGGTATGACCTTTAACAGGCTGCTCATGCTTGAAAATCCTCCAGTGTGACTGAATTAAAACAATTCTGCAAAGAAGAGTGGGCCAAAATTCCTCCACAGCGATGAGTGAAAGTCTCATTGCCAGTTTTTGCAGATGCTTGACTGCAGTTCTTGCTGCCAAGAGCGGCACAACCAGTTATTAGGTTTAGGGGGCAATTACTTTTCACACATTTTGTGTTTACTCTGGTTATCTGTATATAATATTAATATTATTGTTTGATTATCTGAATTTTTAAGTGTGACAAATATGCGTGACACTTTACTGCTGAACAATATAAGGAGTGGGAAGGGAAAAATACTCCATGTGGTCGGGGTTTCACTATACAAATGTCAAAAACACAAGTCCAAACTGAAAAAAATGCTAAGTAGGTTAGGTTGTTAGAAAAAAAATCCTTTGCATGGAGAGACTCAATTAGCATATATTCAGAAACGCACTCTGTTTCGTGGACTCCAACATGAGGTCGGAGGCTGGAGGTGGTGGGCTGCCCACGTCTGATTAAAGCAGCATTTTTAATAAATAAATTTCATGCATTCAAAGTCTCAAACTCAGTGTCAGCTGTGAGTTTGCAGGCTCGAGGATGATTCAAAGCAGGAGTGACACATTTTCAACCTATTAAATGCTCATTTTTCTAAACAGTTTTCTACCTCACGGGACGGTTTAGCTCCCAGCTAAAAACACTTTCAACTATGAAGCGGTTTTTTAATATTAAGTTGGTAATGGAAACAGGGTGTGATATTTTTTGCTTTAAAGTAACTACCCCACTCACACATGAGATATATAATACAACACAGCCAGCCAAAGAGAGGCATCACGATGACACCACTAGCGCCATCTTTTGGTAGCAGTTTAATACAGAACTTGGAGCAGTGCTCGGAGTGTTGAGCAGGTTCCCCTAATTTGACTTAGTTTAATTATTGCAGGACATAACAAATGTTGTTATTAAAAAAAACATTTATGTGTGAAGATAAGAGCTGCCATACCCATCACACACACATGCACACCTACACGCGCGCGCGCACACACACACAGTGGTCTTACCAGAGTAAAGGGTGTATTGAGGACTGTGATGAAGATATCAGCCACCGCCAGGTTTAGGATAAATAAACTGGTGGCGGACAAGGTGCGCTTGTTTTTGACCACCACGTGACACACCAGGGTGTTCCCGAACAGGGAGATCACGATTATGAGGGAATAGGCTGCCACAAGCAGCGCCTTGATGCCCCTGTCCTGAGACTCTCCGCCGCTGCTGGCCAGAGAGCGCCAGCCCTCCAGCAGACCTTCATCAAAGTCCAGGAGAAACAATCCGGAACTCGCGTTCCCTCTCTGTCCCGAAACGTTCATGAAACGCTCCGCGAAAGAAAGTATCTCCTCTCCCGAAAGTGAAGAGTCGTTAGTTCTGTGTCCCGCTGCTGCCCGGCTCATCCAGAGGACCACGGAGAGCCAAACACACACTGCTGTCATTTTTATTATTATTATTATCAGTGTAATTATCGCATCCCCCTGCCTGTAGTTTTAATGAGAGAATGAGAGGTTTGCAGCTGCTTCTCTGTCATTCGTGTCACTGGAGTAAAGGAGAGAGGCTGAAGCGTGGGCAACAAGTTGTGTGAAGCGACTCAGCAGCAGGAGAGGCTGCTGTTTTTAAAGCTTCAGACTGTCGCGTGTGTGTCTGTGTGTAGCAGAGAGAGAGGGAGGGAGAGAGACTCCTTCCTTCTGTGCTTTTATTGATTCGTTCTTAGTGAGATGTTTACCTGCAGGGTGATGCAGGGTGACGCTGGCTGATTTGCAATTCAAAGGCTGCGTCGGGTCTCCATGCGTGCCAAATTAAACCGCCTGGTGGTTTATAATTGAATTGTTTTGGCAACAGACATTTAAGCTGATGGCCTGTAAACGTTTCGACCATTTAGAGCATTCTGTTAAATACTTGGAAATTCGTAATTTAAACCCCAGTGTGTTCTTAGATGATATTAAAGGACTTTGCTTTTTTTACTTGTATAAGCTCTTTCGAAGATTTTTCAGGTATATGTTGCCAGTCAAGGTCAGTGAAGTCACCAAATATGGTTCCTTGTTTATTTAGGGCAGGGGTGTCCAAACTCCGGCTCGCGGGCAGTCCATTTTTAATTGGCCCGCAAGTAATTTTATAAATAGAATAGAATATGGCCCGCACTTCAACTTTTGCTTGAGTGTATTGCACTTCTTAGTTTTAACACCAGGGGGAGCTGTTGTTGATCAAGGCAGTTGCTCCACCAAAAAGGTCAATCACAGAAGAAATTTACTCCCAAGTTACTAAACATGGCAGAACCAAAGAAGCGAAAGGTAGAAAGTGAGTGCAGAAAATTTCAGACACGGTGGGAGAGTGAATATTTCTTCAAAGAATTCAAGGGGAAGTGTGTCTGTTTGATCTGCACTGAAACTGCGGCAATTATGAAAGAGTATAATGTACGATGTCATATGAAACCAAACAAGAGGCCTATGCATCCTACACTGCACTCAGAAAAATTATGGTTCTTAAATGGTTCTTCAGATGTCTTCATGGTTCTTTAAAGAACCATTTTTAAAAAGGTTCTTTGAAAAACCTTTAAAGGTGCCTCAAAGAACCATTTCTTGATGGTTCTTTGGGGCACCTTTAAAGGTTCTTCAATGAACCACTGAAAGAAATGGTTCTTCAAAGAACCATTGTTTGAAAGGTTCTTTGTGGCACCAAAAAAGGTTCCTCTATGGCATCAGTCTAAAGAACCACTGTTGGTTCCAGTTGGCACTTTTATTTTTCTGAGTGTGGTGCTGAGCGAGAGCAGAAATTAAAGCAAAGGGTAGCTCTCCTGCAAGGTCAGCAACAGTATTTTTTTCGTGCTCAAATTATCCAGGAAAAGGCTCCAATAGCCGGCTATGAGGTCGCCCAACTCATCGCAAGACATGGCAAGGCTTTTTCAGATGGAGACCTCATAAAACACGGCCTCGTTAAAGTCACCGAAATAATGTGCAGGACTTCACCAACGTCAGCGTGTCCAGAAATCCAGTTGTGCGACGCACTGAAGACTCGTCAGCCAACATTAAACTGCAACTGTCTGATAAAGCTGTGCTTTTGATTTTTACTCCATGGCATGAGATGAGAGCACCGATGCCACAGACACCGCAGCTGTCAGCTGCTATGTTTTTTGCGGGGAGTGGACGAAAGCACGAGCGCTTTAGGTGAGTAAAAAATATATTCCACAGTACCCGTGGGTTAATAAGCATGCATGTGCAGGTACACATGCTTCAAATATCAGCTGGATGGCCCGATTTACATACCCAGCGCAGCTGATACCAGAATAATTTACTAAAATTATATGGACTCCTGTTATTAAGTCCAGTTCAGTCTGTTAATGTTGATAATCGTTTCAAACGGACGTAGATGTTTTGCTAAGCCTAATAACTTAAATAACAAACTTGAAATGTACCCGTCCCATTTTCCCCTTTATTGTTTTTTTTCTCTGTGCTGCAAATCTTCTGTCTAAGAAGAAATCTGAGGCTGCTGTTCTGAGAATGAGCTACCAAAGCTTTTTCTGAATAAATCAATAAAGATTAATTTAGGGAAAGCTGTGATGAAGGCAGTTTTGTCTTTAATTATATTCAACAATATAACACATTTGACCACTTTTAAGTGATTTTTCTAACTTTAATACAGTAAAGTTTAGGTTATATACCTAAGTGGCCCAGCCCCTCCTATATTTCTATGTATGTGGCCCTCAGTGAAAAAAGTTTGGACACCCCTGATTTAGGGTAAACGTCTTTCTAAAAAATGAATAAATAAATTATGAGAGGGAAAAGTACGGAATAAAATTATTATATTATTAAATTTGTTTCTGACATCTTACAGTTACTTTTGCTAAGGTATTCATGAAGATTATTATTATTTTTGCTTGTTGCTCATTTTTGTCGCCGGTTCCTACCCCTGTGTGGATTTGGTGTGTGTGCTACTAACTACAGTTCCACTGATTGGGCTGCTGTCTGTCTTGGCCAGGACACTCTTGTGAAAAAGATTTTGACCCACTCTCTTGGAGCCGCTGGTCCGGGGTGGCTTGAACCTCTTCCTTGTCGGGGGAGCTCCCTCTGGTGCCGGGTGGTTCATTGGTGTCTGGGGCCATGGTGGCCGGCCTCTGGCGGGGTTGGCTGCTTCAGGTTCACTGGGACTTTCCCCCTTTTGCTGTGGGCACCCCATCTGGGCCCTTCGTCCTTGTCCTGATGGGATGGACGCTTAGATGTCGCCCAGATGTGTGGCCTCAGGTCTTCAGGCTGCTGACGGCACTTTTCTCCTGGATACATCTCTGTCTGCCTCTGGCTAAATTGTAGATGTATAACTCAAAGCATTAAAAAGCTTTATAATTACTTATGATACCACTTTTTTCTTATAAATCAGTAAAAACTAAAATCAGAAATATTGAATTACTAAACCAATTATAGTTCTAATAAGACCCACAGTAAAAACAAACACTGACATCTGCAATTTAAGTATATTAAAAACTGCTATAAGGCCATAAAACTGAGTGAAACAGTCACGCACACATTTCATTATTTACAGGACGAAAACGTCTATAAATGGGTTAATTTCTCACTGGGTTACTTTATAATGATACACAAACCTGTCACAATATCCTATGGACCACTGAGTACTACTCTCCTAAGTCATAATGTGTGATTTCTTAATAAAAAATAAAGAATCCTAAAGTCTGGCTTACTTGTTTGAAATGCAGGCCATCTGCTGATTGGTCAGATGCGGTTATGTCACTGTCTGTCACATAACCTGGGCTTTGCTGATTGAATGGGAGACAGCCGTGTGGTCCCTACACAATCGCAGAGAGAGAAGGGGAAAACAATAAAGTCACCAAATATGGTTCATCACTCGATAAAGGCTTAAGAACAGCCCTAAAAAAACCTCACTGTCTTGCACCACCTCTGCCTATACAGGGAGTGCAGAATTATTAGGCAAATGAGTATTTTGTCCACATCATCCTCTTCATGCATGTTGTCTTACTCCAAGCTGTATAGGCTCGAAAGCCTACTACCAATTAAGCATATTAGGTGATGTGCATCTCTGTAATGAGAAGGGGTGTGGTCTAATGACATCAACACCCTATATCAGGTGTGCATAATTATTAGGCAACGTCCTTTCCTTTGGCAAAATGGGTCAAAAGAAGGACTTGACAGGCTCAGAAAAGTCAAAAATAGTGAGATATCTTGCAGAGGGATGCAGCAGTCTCAAAATTGCAAAGCTTCTGAAGCGTGATCATCGAACCAATCAAGCGTTTCATTCAAAATAGTCAACAGGGTCGCAAGAAGCGTGTGGAAAAACCAAGGCGCAAAATAACTGCCCATGAACTGAGAAAAGTCAAGCGTGCAGCTGCCAAGATGCCACTTGCCACCAGTTTGGCCATATTTCAGAGCTGCAACATCACTGGAGTGCCCAAAAGCACAAGGTGTGCAATACTCAGAGACATGGCCAAGGTAAGAAAGGCTGAAAGACGACCACCACTGAACAAGACACACAAGCTGAAACGTCAAGACTGGGCCAAGAAATATCTCAAGACTGGTTTTTCTAAGGTTTTATGGACTGATGAAATGAGAGTGAGTCTTGATGGGCCAGATGGATGGGCCCGTGGCTGGATTGGTAAAGGGCAGAGAGCTCCAGTCCGACTCAGACGCCAGCAAGGTGGAGGTGGAGTACTGGTTTGGGCTGGTATCATCAAAGATGAGCTTGTGGGGCCTTTTCGGGTTGAGGATGGAGTCAAGCTCAACTCCCAGTCCTACTGCCAGTTTCTGGAAGACACCTTCTTCAAGCAGTGGTACAGGAAGAAGTCTGCATCCTTCAAGAAAAACATGATTTTCATGCAGGACAATGCTCCATCACACGCGTCCAAGTACTCCACAGCGTGGCTGGCAAGAAAGGGTATAAAAGAAGAAAAACTAATGACATGGCCTCCTTGTTCACCTGATCTGAACCCCATTGAGAACCTGTGGTCCATCATCAAATGTGAGATTTACAAGGAGGGAAAACAGTACACCTCTCTGAACAGTGTCTGGGAGGCTGTGGTTGCTGCTGCACGCAATGTTGATGGTGAACAGATCAAAACACTGACAGAATCCATGGATGGCAGGCTTTTGAGTGTCCTTGCAAAGAAAGGTGGCTATATTGGTCGCTGATTTGTTTTTGTTTTGTTTTTGAATGTCAGAAATGTATATTTGTGAATGTGGAGATGTTATATTGGTTTCACTGGTAAAAATAAATAATTGAAATGGGTATATATTTGTTTTTTGTTAAGTTGCCTAATAATTATGCACAGTAATAGTCACCTGCACACACAGATATCCCCCTAAAATAGCTAAAACTAAAAACAAACTAAAAACTACTTCCAAAAACATTCAGCTTTGATATTAATGAGTTTTTTGGGTTCATTGAGAACATGGTTGTTGTTCAATAATAAAATTATTCCTCAAAAATACAACTTGCCTAATAATTCTACACTCCCTGTAATGCAGTATTGAGATCCCTTCCTAGGTGAGTCAACCCCACGTTTTCCCTGGATTTCTACAGCAACATAATTGAGAGGTTA